TCCGGCTCGAGGCCGCTACGAGGACCCATACCGTCGAGACTATCCTCCCCCGCCGCCCGATCCCTATGCCAACGGTCGTCAGTATGATCGACCTCCCAGGGACTTTCCCCCTCGAGAACCTGCGTACCCACCGCGTGATGGAGGATATGCTCGCGAATATGACAGAGGTGGACGCTACTGGTAAATTCTATTCCTAGCACATTGTTGCTTGCCCTGAGCGTTGAGCCTGCCACCCTGGCAGAGCCAATCGTATCTCGATGGATGAACTTGGCCTTGACCTGTGGTAATAGATGATTGCCCGTCGGAACTTCGCCACGGTAAACACATTCCATTAGTATGGACATGGGAAGGCTGTGGAATTAACGAGATCCGAATTGCCATTTACGCTATACTACGGCCGGGGGGATATTCAATATGATAATGAGGAGTGAGGGTGTGCAGGAAAACAAATTGCTCGACAGTAACTTTTTTCATTTTCATTTTTTTAAAACAAAAAAAATTAGTCTCCAAGATATGGCAGAGCTACCACGGCGCGGATTCATGGGAGTATGGTTGGGTTGATGGGCCTGAAAGGAGGAACTGGATGGGCGTGATGAAAAAGCAAAAGTGAACGAGGGCGTCTGGGGAAAGTAACTAAAGTCGAGAATCAAGAACGACAGATGCTCGACTCGAAGTTTTGCAGCGAACGACCACGATATGTACGATTATCAGAATGCACGTCACGCCTCTTTTGCGTTTTAATTTTTGTTACTTTCTTTAATGTGTTGCTCTTGATCAATTTAATTCTGTTTTTTTCCCTAACAGTTTCTGTACCCTGCGTGATAGAAGCACGACTTGAAGTTTGGATCCTTGAGGCTCCAGTATTCAGTCACTAGAAAAATGTAAATCGCCTTGTTGGTAGCCAAAAATGGAATTAAAGAATCTATAAAAGCATGAAAAGGTTCGTAACAAATATTCAACGATTTGGCCGCTCAGATCAAGGTATGCGAACCGACATTTCTGTCTTGGTTCTCGTACTATAACTACAATTTCTCGCCGATCCCTAGCATGTGGGAGCTGGAGCGAAATGGCAAACTAGTCACAGCAACGGTGTGTGTTGTATCCATCAAGGCGTCGTCATTTGGTCGGACCTGGACGGTGCGGTCTCGGCTCCTGGTATCGTCTTGAATTTACTTGGAGGCCGGCTTTGCGGTGACCTTCTTCCACTGGTTGTACACGCCGATCAAACTGCTCAGGGTACCGGCGAGACCAACGAAGCCGTCGTCGAAACCAGCCCAGCCGAGGGCAGACGAGGGAACGGTGAGATCGCAGAGGTCAGAGATGAGCTGGAGCTGGCTAGCGGCTCGCTCGCGCTCGCTGGGGAGAAAAAAAATAAGTTAGTCACTCGTGACATGTCGGCAAAAAAAAAAAAACACACCCACACACACACGAAAGAAGAAGGGAGGGGAGGGGGGGTTGGATTTCTCACTCACCGGGCAATGTGCTTGCTGTTGATGACGCCCTCGCCGTCCTTGCGGTCAATCTTGGCCTCCCGCTGCTTCAGCTGATACAGCGTGTACAGCTGGGCCGAGATGCTGAATACCAGGCCCATGGCCCAGAACCTGTACCCGTAGGCCTGGACGGTCTTGGCCTTGTCCCACTTCTTGATGCCGGCGGCGTCGGGCAGCGCGGCAGAGTCAAAGGTCAGGTAGCCGGCGTAGCCAATCTGCCTGCCGATGCCCGCGTAGCGCAGGAAGGCGTCGAGGGGCTTGGGGTTGTCGGCGGTCTCGACGGCGGCCTTGAGGTGCTCGACGTTCTTGCCGACGCGGAGGATCTTGCGCGTCAGACCGAATTGCTTCTTGGTGACGTCCCAGGGGGCGATTTGGGCTTTGGTGGCATTGGTGCGCAGGAGGTACCAGGCGTAGAAGCGGGCGAAGTACTGGATGGTGCGGAGGAGCTTGTCGCGGCCGACGGTGGTGGCGACGAAGCTGAGGTAGTGCTTGACGGAGGGGTGGTACACGAGCGTGTTGACGACCATTTTGACGGCTGCAGTGCTGATGACCTAGGTGTGTATTTAGGTATACGTTTTTGTTTTTCGCGTCTTCTCGTCAAGAAATGGAGGGTGGTGGGTTGTTGGAGTTGTTGGAGTTGCACGAGCGGCCGGGGACCGGAGTGAGCCGAGTCGAACGGGCAGGGCAGCGGGGCTGCTTTTTGTGACGTGACGGGTGGACCGGAATAAAGCAGATGCAGCAGAAGGAGAAGGAGATTTTTGCAAAGTAAGAGGGCCGGCGGGGAGGCGGGCAATTCTGGATATAATATGGAGGTGAGGCGTGGGAGAAAGGAAGGGCGAGTTGGAGAATGCGATGCGCATATCAGGAGCGGGTGTCCGGCGGCATCGGTGCAAAACGTGGTCGCGCACATGCCGAGGCTTCTGCTTCTCAACGTCGACGGTCCCATGGGGAAAGCAGGGTGCATTTCGGCGACGACTGCCCATTATGGAGCAGCCTAATTGGCGGCGGGGGGATGGGGCATATCGGTGCGGAGAAACCGTTATCCGCGGAGGCACGTGAGCTTGGGCTGGAAGCACGCGCCACGCACTGCAGCCAGCAGCACCATGGCAGTTTGCAGTGCTCCATCTACTCCTCGAAAGCCTTTATTCAGTTCCAGCTTTCTGTATATAAATGTCATTTGGCAATAGCCAGAGCCCCGCGCCAGCCAACCCGACAACCCGTACTAGCTATATTTACTCCTCGATTATTCTGATGCAGATCATCGCAAACATGTCAGGCAATTTTATATTTTATATTTATTCTATCCACCCGCTACATTCCAATCCAGTCAGATCATGATACCACGCATGATACCATGTCCTCTGTGTTTAGTGCCATGCGTTTCGCCGCAGAGTTTTCACCACACATGCAGGGAAAAGACCAGTTTCAGCCGGTACATCAGAGAACCCGCCTTCGAAGAAATATCAACCTGAACCTCCCATACAGAAAGTCTTGCTGCTCGAATTCTCTTCCCACCCACTCCCCACAAACGAGGCTGCTGCGAGCACATCTCACACCAGAGCATCCATCCACTCCTGCCCACCCCAACGAGAATGAGCCACCTTCCCATGTGGGTGAGGACAAGCTTGCTGAGCGGATAGTATCTTGTTAACTTCACGAAGGCATGAATTTACGGACTCTCATTTCCTTTGGTTAGGTTAGCAGATAGACATACTATGTATGTATCTAGCCAGCTTCTACCTAGATTGGGGAAAGCCTGCTAGAATAGACATGCCTACCGCTAGCAACCGAGACTTTTATTCTCGCCAATCCTTCTCAAATTCCGACTCGCTACAGCTGCTGGAGGCGTTCTCGTCTACGTAATTCTCGCTCGCCTCGGAGAATTCATCATCCACACGAGGTGTCGTCGCAGCCGACGCCATCTCGGGCGATTCAGACCTCACCGATAAAGTATCAGGTAGGCTTACGCCATCGCGAGAACGGTCGGCGGCGACACGACCGGTGGACAGTGATGGATTCGGACTGCGCAGATGCCTCTTGGAGCTGTCCATGTCGAGTTGCCTCGATGCTGGCCGCTTGCTGCTCGTCGTGTCAACCCTAATGGGACTATCCGGTTCCTGGTTACGTAGCCACTTTAGGCACTTTCCGGCACTCCATCTCTTCTCCGCACCCTTTCGTAAAAGGCCTTTTAACATGGCCTGGACGTTTTCCGGTGTATCCGCGATGCGCGGGCAAAGTTCCGTCCGCACCCATCGTCCAAAGTCGTTGGGGTCCCATGTGTCGTCCGCTTGGGGCAGCCAAGTCGTGAACATCTCCAACTGAATGAGGCCGAAGGCCCACATGTCCACTTTGCATGTATATGATCGAGGGCGGACGAACAATTCGGGGGGCCATGTAGATCGCCGTGCCAGTAAAGATCTCCATTTTTGATGAGAGGTTTTGCTTCGATGTACCAGAGTCAGCCAGCTTCAAAATTACAGCACCCTCCTGCCAATGTACCAGCGCGTTTTCCGGCCGCAGATCCCGATGCGTAATGCCGCACTCGTGCATATAGTGCAAGGCGCTGATAAACTGAGTGCTGATTTCCAAACGCTGCGGTGGATTCAACGTAGGGAGTTCGTCGCGGAGAGTAGAGGGGATGTATTCGACTATCATCCAAGGCGGCAGGCTCACGTCATCGGCTAGGACTAAGTCGTACGCTTTCAATATGTGCGGCTGAAAAAGAACGTGTCACAAATCAACCTCAGACTTCAACTGCAGATTTAATTGCTTCCGCCAGCAGTGGAGAAGATCATTCGCTGCAACTTACATGTTCCAGGTGCCTGATAATGTTGTACTCAGCCTCCAACGCCTCAAGCCGTCCCCTCGCATAATCGGAGTTGTCGCTCGATTTATAGTAAGGTTCTTTGGCGCCAAATATCCCTCCTGTTGTCATGTTCTTCATCTTCATTACCGACGCATGCATCCCGCGACCGTGCGTCTTCTCAGCGATATATGTGGCGTTATTTTGGCCATAGCGGATCGATTCGGCCGACGTCTTCTCCTGGCTTTTCATCGAAGGGAGACTTTTAGGACGAGCAACCATAATATCCCAGCCCTGAGATCGAACCAGTTGCCGGTATCGTTGAGTTTCCGCCCGTGTTCGCACCGGAAACCAGGCCCTGCAACTCAGCGCTTCCCACTCAATCACGCAAGGGCGGGGCAGTTCGACAGGCTCGTAAAGTTTGCATTTTTTAGCATCAGTAGGCTCGCGGATGCGAACTTTCTGATCGGATAGCAGTGTCACCCTGGGGTAGTACGTTATTGCTCATAATCAGCACAATTCTGCCAACGTCAAAAGTCTGCGGACTCGTCATATTGAAAAAGCAAGCGAGTGCAGCTACACTTGACGTAGGAGAAAGTTGGGAAAGGATTGAAAAAGCAAGGCGGAGATGGAAATGCTGCGCACTGAAGAAGTGGTGAATATCGAGCCAGAAAAGAGATTCCGATGTCAAGGTTTCGTCGTCGTGCCTATGCGGAGGGGTCTTGGCGCCTCTTTGGGCGTCGACTTGCAGCTCCAGCGCCAGACACAGGGCGTTGCCGCCTGTGCTTGGTTACACCACCACCAACTGTTTTCTTTGCTTTCGCTCTACTCGCGACGCGGCGGCCCCGTTTGTTTTGTTGGCTCGGTGGCGGTGCGGGCGACGATTGTGATAGCTCTCCGCTCTGAAGACACCGCCGCACCCTTTCTTGGCGCCGGCGCTGGATTTCATCCTGTTTCTCCTGAGCTGCTTCCCTCATCTTATGCTCTTCTAAGGCGGCACGCTGTCGAAGAACCTCTGCCTCAGGCTGCCAATATTTATTATCCACAATCGAATACCGAAGTTTCGTAGTCTGCTCTGAGGATTGCCCGCTCTGTTGCAGGAAGCTTTTGCATAATGTAGCAACATCGCGCCAGTGCTGGACCGTGGCTTCGTCGACCTTTACACGGCCTTGTCCATACAGCTGCTTTATCAATGAACGTAGGTAGTGCTCAGATTCGGTTTTCCAGTAGTGCGGGTCAGAGATTTCTTTCCGACACCGGTCTATTTCGTGCTCGGCGAAATGACCGTGCCATAGTTCGCACCGTAACTTGTGGTTCTCGGCGGTATCGTCGTCGTTGTCGTCGTCGGATGAGGAACGTTCTGGAGTTGCTTGTTGCCTGTCTTCACTCGCATTATTCAACCGCTGCTGAAGGTACTTTTGCCCAACTTCCGAGGAGAAAACGTCTCTGGCGCAGCTGTTGGAATCCTGCGTAGGAGAGCCGTGTTTTCCAGACCACCGGGGGCTTTGCGCCATGGAAAATGTGCTTCGGAAAGAAGGCAGCAGGTGTGAAGGGAGTCTGTAAAGAATACAAATCGGCTCTCCCAAGGTGGTGCTGAACATGATGGGGAGCTAAGACGACCCACCCGAGGTCACTCGCAGGGATGTCGGCTCCTCTCCCTGCCACACCATCCCCTCAGAGCAGTTAAGGCTCCAACGAGGTCGCGGACAAGGATTAAGACCAATAAGAGACCCACATATTAAAAATACATATATTTCCTAGTGATTTACCCTATAATATAAGTACCAGTAATCGTAAAGCTACAATAAGCTACATGTTTACTCACAGAATTTAGGCTGCTATTAAAGTCACCAGAAGTCACTGTTATTGTGGAGCCCATGACCTTGTTGGAGCCTTAACTGCTCTGAGGGGATTGCATGATACCATCTCCTCCGTGCTTACTGACAGGATTAAATCGACGTCATACCAAACGTGGTAGAGCATTAATAAGGTCCAAATCCTTCGCAAATGTAAAACGTACGGCGACCAGAGAATGCTCGTTGGCAAATGACCCCACCCTTGATGTCTAAGCTTTTGCCTGCCCCCGGAGCACTACAGAACAATTACCGCAACCTGCTGCTCGTTCTCTTTCCTCCTCTCTCCTAGCTTGATCCCCAACTTATATTCCTTCTGCGCCGTCTCCAATATCCTCTTAACCGCTGTACCCTCCACACACGAATTCACACCCGAATTTCTGTCGTCCCACCCCCGTCTCTCATGGCATGCCGTGTACATGGCGCAGGAGCGCCCTGAGGAGCCATGAAGTTTTGCGGCGTTTTTCTGACTTTCTGGAGTCGTGCCCGAGCAAAGCTTTCCTCGAGACATGAGGAATCACGTACATACACTCCGTTGGCAGCAATATATCGCACGACTATCTGTACTTGACACTTTGATTTCACCAGATACAGTTAGGAGCGAATCCAGCGTCCTGACTACACACTTTCTTGAATGTAGGCCGAGACCTTTAAATACAGAGGCACTACTTCAGGGTACTTCCCGAACATGAGTTAAGTATGTGCTCTGGGAAGTAAAGGTGGGGTAGGTAAAAGTACTATGAGTTATGCTGGAAGTCTGGCGCAAGTACCCAGTGCGACAGGTCCCGGAATTTTTAAGGACCTCCGGGTGGGTCTGGGGTCCTGTTCATAGGTCATTAACCCCTCCCCCAGCCCAAGGCGTTCCAAGCCAGGCCACTCCAGCAGCTTAGCCGCAACGCCATAGAAATGTGTTGAACAGTTCCGATGACCAAGTCCCCACGGTTCAATTGCCCTTTGAAGTTCCGGGAAATCCTCTTTGCGTAGGTGGATTCCCGCGTCCCGCGCCCCCAAGTTTCCCAGCAGTCACGGGACCATTTCCGAGGAAGGCCCACGGTCGGTGCTCGAGACGCGAGACGCGGGCAGCTCGGTGTCGAGGACCGAGCCTCGAATAACCGCTTCCAGACTCGCCGGAGCCCTCGGTGGCTTGGATGGAGGGTGAGACCACATGACGGGAAGAGCAGGACCAGCGGACCCGGGGGACCTGAATTCCCATGGCGGATTGGCGGAAGAGGACGACTGCCGGGCCTCCTTGGGGCCTCCTTGGCGTTGGATGGGGGACGGAAGATGGGGAGGCACGGCCATTACATACATATTACCTTATGATTATCGTGACCTCGTTCGTGCCTGTTCTCCTGGCTAGAAAAGTGCTCAAACCCTTTGGATTCCCCCCTCTTCTGCTCCTTTCTTTTCATCCGTTTATACTCGTCGTCGAACTCGGGATTTCTTTTTCCTGAGATCCGCTGGCCTTCGCAGCTCTTTGTCACGATACCCCGCTGCCCCTCCACCGAGGTTAGCTTTTTACGCTTTGCCGCAGGTCAACCCGACAGCAGCCGATCACAACGAGGCCAATTCGTCTTGTGGCATAGTCCTCGTCAAACTCACACCTCTTGTCCATCACCGTCCCTCTACAGTACAAGTTAGCGCAGAAATACCGGCATCATGGCGGACAACAGCAACGGCGAAAAGGTCAACACCAACATTGTGACGCTGACTCGGTTCCTCAATGAGGAGCAGACCAAGCACAAGGAGGCCAGCGGTGACTTTACGTATGTGCACGATTTCAAGTTGATACGTTGATTGCCTTTTGCAATCCCCTCGGACGTACATGAGCAGGGTACACGCAAAAAAAGGGAAAAGGATAAAAAAAACTAATATTGCTCCCATACAGTTTACTCTGCCATGCCCTCCAGTTCTCATTCAAGTCCATCGCATACTACATCCGCCGCGCAACCCTCGTCAACCTCACCGGCCTGGCCGGCTCCTCCAACACCACGGGTGACGAGCAGAAGAAGCTCGACGTCATCTCAAACGACCTCTTCATCGAGGCCATGCGCTCGTCCAACAAGTGCGCTCTGCTCGTCTCCGAAGAGGAAGAAGACATCATCTACTTTGAGAATGCCACGGGCTCCCGCTACGCCGTTGCGTGCGACCCCATTGACGGCTCTTCCAACCTCGACGCCGGTGTCTCCGTCGGCACCATCTTTGCCATCCACAAGCTCCCCGAGGGCTCCACGGCCCGCAAGGAGGACATCCTCAAGCCCGGCACCGAGCTCATCGCCGCTGGCTTCACCATGTACGGCGCCTCGTCGCAACTGGTGCTCACCATGAAGAACAGCTCCGTCAACGGCTTCACGCTCGACAACGGCATTGGCGAGTTCATCCTGACGCACCCCAACATGCGCATCCCCAAGTCGAGGGCCATTTACTCCGTCAACGAAGGCAACTCTCTGTACTGGGAGGAGAACACCATTAGCTACTTTAACTCGTTGAAGCAGGCCCAGTCCAATGGAAAGCCGTATTCTTCGAGATACATTGGCTCCATGGTGGCCGATGCGTATAGAACGCTGCTGTATGGCGGCATCTTTGCCTATCCTGCCGACAAGAAGAGCCCCAAGGGCAAGCTGCGTATTTTGTATGAATGCGCGCCCATGGCCATGGTTTTTGAGAATGGTAAGCTTCTATGATGCCTCTCTCTTTGTCCCCTCTTTTTTTTCAGGTGCTACATTTTGCTTCATGAGACATGCTAATATATGAGTAATAGCTGGTGGCCAAGCTCTCGACAGCAACATGAAGCGCATGATGGAGGTCGATCCCGAGCATATCCACGACCGCTCGGGCATTTTCATGGGCAGCTATGACGAGATTGAAAAGGTCAAATCTTTTCACAAGTAAATGCAAGGCCCGCTAATTAAATATATTGTAATGTAAACAACGGACTGCGAACGCCATGGGATTGGTCATGAATCGAAGAAATTATAGGAATTCACAGAGGGCAGCAGGCATAAGCATATGCAGGAATAAATAAAACAAATCTACCACTTCAACCACTGCTTACTGGCACGTATATAACAACAGCCTTGCTTTCCCCCAACCCCAATCATATTCATCTGTCCAGGATATTACACAGTCCGCAAGCCCTACCATAACTTGGGCACAAGCTTTGGCGTGTTTCTCTTCCATTCCTGATAGTCCGCTCTTCCGCCGTACTTTTCATCGTGTCGTGCCTCGGTCAACGGAATACCGGAAACCTTGGTAAGCAAGAGACCCGAAAACGCAGGCGCAACAAAAGACAAGGCCGTCGTGGCAACAATCCCAGCCGGCGTACTGAACCCAAGAGCCAATTGAATAGGTTTCAGAGCGAGTACACCGGCGCACGTAGTCGCCAGACCCGTCCACAGGGAGATTTCGCCAAAGTAATGCGGGAAACGACTAGACGGCACCCACCATCATTAGCAAAAAACAACAACAACCGTAGCAGCCAACCCATCCTATCCGAGTCCAGAAAGCCAAGGGGACAAGGGGGGAGATAGGCAAACTTACCACATCCTAAACAAGCCCGTCTTCAGAAACTGCTCGTCGTGCTCCTTCTTCCTCCGCCCTTCCACCCACCTGCTCTTCTGCACATCGGCCGCCGTCTCCAAGGCGATGCCGCCCGCCCAGACCCCGATGCCCAGCACATCGGTAACGGCGAGCCGGGGCACGGCCGCAAACGCCGCGGCAGGAACGGCGTTCACCGCCATGACGGGCATCAGCATGACCGACACCCAGACGGCCTGCATGAAGAAGGCCGACGCGAAGCGCAGCGGCTTCGTGCGCAGCGTGTCGAAGCGCGGGTCGTGGCCGTCCTGGCTGATTCTGCGGAAGAGGTACGCCCCTACTGTGCGGACGTTAGCGACGCTTGCCCACGCGTAACATCAGGACAAGGAAGCATTGAAGAGGAGAATAGATGGACATGTCTGGGGTGGGAAGGGCGGAAGGGGGGGGGAGATGTACGTCTGGCAGCCCACGCCATGGCCATGCCCGTCACGACCACCTGTCTCCAGTTCCAGGAGGCGGCGAGCCGGGACAGCGTGGCATTTCCCGCGCGGCCTCGCAGGTGCGGCAGGTACAGGCTGAGTGCGCCGACGGCGAGAAAGGTGAGCGAGCCGGAGATGTCGAAGAAGCGCTCTGTGGAGGCGAGCACGCTGGGCAGCCCGGCGGCGAGTTGGAGGGCGAGCGCGGCCCCCACGGAGGGAACAATGGTCCGGAGGAGAGGGGATTTGAAGTTGGTGATGTGGAGGAGGCGGTTGATGATGGGCATTGTCGCGGAAGTGACGACGTGCACGGTTTTGCTGGATGAGATGGAGACGGAGGAGGGTTGAGGCAAGTCAAGGGGCTGTTGGGGATTTTGTTTTCTTTTTTTTTTTTTAGACGTGCATGCTGCAGATGCATCGACCGCGTCAGAGCTCGGTGGTTTGGGTCGTCATGACGGGAGCTCGATCGCGGCGCCGGAGTGGTTGACGATGCTTTGGTGTTTGGGAGATCCTAGCTCCGATCGCCCCACAGATCGGGCCGCGGGCAGATCGTGCTGGCGTCGACGGATTTGAAGACTTACAATTTGGCGATGAAGACGTCGAGAGTTGGTACTATCAACAACGGCGCAGACAGCGTTTTGCCGCGGCACAATTTGCATGGTATTGATATTGTTGTAGGTATGTGGATTGACGACGACTCGCAATGTCTAGACTAGTCCGCAGAGCAATGACTTCCACCACTTCTCTTTGCCGACGCTCTCCTCTGATCCCCCATGCGGTGCCTTCAGATGCTGCTTTTCATCGCCGTCAACACTGTCCGTCTCGTACGGAACGAGCTTGAATGCCGAGATGGAAAACAGGTGCAGCTCAAAGTCGCCCTCTTGCTCGCCAAAGAAGCTACACGCGGTCAGCACCCATCCCAAATGCCAGGACGCAACAATCCAGGCAAAACTCACCTCCTCATCATCAGCCCGACCCTTTTGATGTCCCCTAGATCCAGCTCGCCCGCATCATTCTTCTCCCTGCCCCGGTACGTGGGTTTGAAGTCGGCCCATCTCAGCTTCACGTCGCCGGGCTTCTTGGCCACGAATTCCGCCTCCCAGCTCACGGTGCTCTGTTCACGGCCGTCGTCCCTCCGAGGCAGAATCTCATTCTTCAGCGTCAGGGCATACTTCTTGCCGTCTGCCTCGTCCGGGCCCCTGATGGAGACAATAATGCCCTCGTAGTCCTTGAGGTTCAACGACAATGTCCCCAGCGAGTGCTGAGAGGCGAACCCTGCTCCGCCGAGGGCCGTCGTGTCCAGGTGGCCGTGGAAGCGGGCATGCTGGGGAGTCTCGACGGTGAGATAGGACTGGCTGGCGCCGCCTCGCACGCGGTCGTCCGAGGTCACCCAGGTGTCTGAGGCCCACGGTCTGCAAGAGGCCAGGTTAGAGAATCAATGTTGGGATTGAATGTGAGGGCATTTCGAGAGGTGCAAAATGGAGAGGGGTGCGCGTAAACAGGGAAAGACGGAGGAAATGTTCGGGTTTCGAGAACAATACTGGCCGGTGACGCGAAAATGAGTCAAGGACAATCATACCGATCTCCACCGTAGAGGTACAGGATCTGGTCAGGCATTCTGCTGCTCCAATCCGGTGTTTACTCAATTAAGCTATTCCCTGCAGTAGTATGCGGTCAAGTGGTTCACAGCTCATTGTACGGAGTACGGAGTACTTCTACATGCAGCGGCTGTTGGAAATGGATCAAGGTTCAGCCCCAGCCCGGCCCAGCTCGTTTATCGGACCACGCTAATTGCATAGATTCGGATAACTGCATCAGGGCTCCTCCTCTGTTACTGCAATGGGGATTTGTGGCGGGGGTGTCTAGTCGTCCATGTTTCTAAACATGTTCACGTATCGCTCCGTAATCCGTTTTCTTTGGTCCATCAATCATGGCAGACCCAGCAGACAATTCTTAGCAACAAGCCAGCAGTTTCCAACGTGGGAAACTGCCGAGCCAAACATGGTGCCTGCTCCCAAAACAAGAAAACTCCAACGCCATCGTTCGATTGGGGGGCGCAACTCTGTCGAATGTGCAGCTCGTACATTCAGCGCGGTGATTGGACACAAGCTCGTTTTTGATCCAATGTGGGCGTATCTATTCTGCATTCGGTTGCCCGTTCTCCGCCTGGCGTAGGCGTAGGCGTAGGCGTGGCCATGGGCGTGCGGCGCGGCAAGCAGTGGTATATACATACAGTACGGAGTACAACAGCACGCGAGGCGCAAGAAGTTTCCTAAACGCTTCGCGAATGCTACGTCAGTACTAGCGCTACCGAAAATAACAAGAGGCCAGGCAGATAGCACTAGCTTCTGTCAGGCAAAAGTATAATTTCTGTTGGACTCGATACACCCCCCTCCTCCCTTGGGATGGGCTCTGCACAAACTCGACGAGGCAGGCAGTCAGCTGGTGTCTCATGACGAAGACGGAGTATGGGGTAGTTTACGGGGTATGGAGAGATGGGATTGACAATTACCGCGGTGTCTCGAAGCCAGTAACTAAACGCCTATGTAGGTACGGAGTACTACTACGTCGTATCTCGTACGAGGCCGGCAAGCACAGCAAACCGACAAGCCCGAACTCCGTGCTCGGTCCGTATGGGGACGTTGGATTGCGACAGAGGCAGGCGACGTGGGATGGGAGGTGATCAATGGATGTCTTTTGTCCCTGGCGCCAGTCGGTCTGCCTGTTCGCCGGCTTCATCTCCGTCCACGACCGCCTTAATTTGCCGTGCCATGGTCTACACCATGTGTTGGTTATTCCAAATCAACGCTTCGTCATGGCAAGATATACTATTCAAAAAGGAGGAAAAGAAACAGAAACGGCCTACGGCCCCTGTCTGCATCCTGGGGGCGCGGCACCACCCCCTACAGCCCGTCCACATGGCTGGCCGTCACATTTTGTTCGCACCCGCAGCCAACCAGCAATCACGGTCAACAAGAACATGTCCACGTCCGTGTCCCTGGCCGCATCCAGGTCCAAGTGCCCTCGGCCTTTACCTTTGTACATACATGTACTACATGATGTCCTTGGGGGCGGAATGCTAATCGTCCGTACGCGGCAACTATGGCCGCCTCCCAAATGCTGGGTCTATGAGCTGTGGGTTCGTTCGTTTAATGCTGCCTTCGATTAGCTGCAGCGTGGGCAATGTTGATTGTCTAATCTGTTCAGAGTGCCATCTGCATGTACAATGCATGTACGGAGTATGTACATATGTATCATTCTTGTGCCTGCTGCGCCGTCCCTCCCTGTCCTTGTCTGTTCCCACGCGGTGCGGCTCCGCGCTCATGGCAGCTCTGCCCTCTCGATGCTCCCGCCATCCCCATCCCCATTTTCCCACATCTCCTTGCTTTCTTGGAGCCTGTCATCTAACCACCTACATGTACAACTTAGGTACCTACCTAATAATTCGCCAACCGGGGCTCGACGGATATACATACCCAGGTGCCCAGATGCACAGTGTCCTGGTAGTACGTACGCACACGCAAAGGGACTGACTGACTGACGAGGGGTGGCTCACTTTGACACATCTTGGCTTCGTCGTGGCTCCCCTGCCAAAACCTGCCCCCCGCGGCACGCAGTCAGCATTTTGTTCTTGAAGCCGAGACCCATGAACTTGACGGATTTACGGCCCGTCAACCACGAACAACAGTACGGAGTACGGAGTAGTATGCCTTTGCAATGTCCGCGCAGCTTCTCAATTGCCAGTCAGCCTAGCCTGCAAGTCGCCCATAGGTTTCTGATTCCCATACCATCGTTGCCGCCACTGTCGTCAGTATTCGCCTGCTGTACCGAGTATGCTGTAACGATGCCGTCTGCCTAGTATTTTGTATTTTGCTCGTTGAATACGGAGTACGGTGCATTGTGTGTTGTATTCCACGCAGTCCGCTCCCTTCACACAAGCCACTTCTCCAGGCGGGCGGTTTTTGGGTAGGCCTTGTCAACGTGTTGCTTGTCTCTCGTCTGTCTTGCTCCTCCATTTCTCAACCGTTTCGTCACTGTGGCCAACGGGCCATTCAAGAAGCCCATCTATAAACGAAGTCGTCCTTTGTTCTTCACTTGGCGCAGAAACTCGAAATACCGGGTTGAGCTTGTCCATTCCACAACGCTCACCCCTCCCCCCCGGTCAAGGACAAGGACCCTGCAAATGCACTTGTAACTTGTCGCCTTGTCTCTCCTCGGTCTTCCTTGTCTGGACTCGTCCGAAACATGGCACAGAAAGCCGACTGCAAGGCGTCGCTCTCTCTCTCTCTCTCTCTCTCTCTGTCAACGCTGCCAGAATGGCCGGTCGAAATTGTCCGACTACTTCACCACCTGGGGGGGGGGGGCTTGACAGCCTCAATCAATCTCCCTCCCGTTCGTTCGTCCAGTGTTCGAGGGTGTGCGTGTGTACATATGTGTGTGTGGTCTGGTGCTTGGTTTCTGCCTGGCATACCGACCACGGCGCTGACCAGTGCCCAGTGTCGCATCCGAGCCATCCTGTGCTCACCACCCTCTGTGCTGTACACTTGTCGCGTGCTCTGTAATGGCGGTTCTCCTCATGTGCTCCAACTTTTCTTACGCAGCCGTGTAACACATCCCTCCCAGCAGAGCCTCCTGTTGCCCTCCCAGTGCTGCCACCAGAGTCCGTGGCATCCGCCCAATTCACCCCCACGGGCGCAGGCTTTCATTCGTGGGAATGTCTCCTATACCTCCTCCGGCCATGGCCCTCCCATTCTACAGCAAGTAGTAGGCAGATCGGCCACGTTTTAGTAACGGCTCGCACACCTTGTCGCCTCGCTTCGCTGCAGCAAGAGACAAAAGCAGACGCGCCTCCAGGGCTCTCCCCCTCCAGGTCCCCGCCTCAAACCCGCAAACCCTCAAACCACAAGGCACAAGGCGCAAGGCACACGAGCCCTAGTTCGCCAGTGTATGGACCATGGAGTCGAATGCTACCAGCTCGGTGGCGGGCTGAAAAGGCGGACGCACGTCGTCGTCAAGGGCCCTGGACACGCAGCCCACTGAACGCAGGGAGGGTTGCACCCAATCCCTCGCTGGGTTTTGCAAAATGGGAGCACCGCATCCCGTCCTCAGCCCAGGGCTCTGGAGAATGCGCATCCAAAATAATTTAAATAAAATAAAATAACGAGGTCGGGTCCCGCAGCACCAAGGAGGGGGAAGGCACGAAGGGAGGGGGAGGCAGAAGCACCCAGAGGCGTCGCTGGGCCCTGCATCTCGTCACAAGTGACACATATCAATCTGTTCGCGAACTCCGAGACAAGAAGGAAATGTCGGAGGTATTGGCGGAGCGGAGACAGATGCGTCAGAAGCCTTGGACGTATGCATGCATGCATTACAAATGTTTCTTGGTCCAGGGGTGCGGAGGAGGCAGAACTGGCGCGCGGGACAGCCCGTCGACGTCACAACCAAAACATCGCCGGTGTCAATGCCAAATGTCAATCAATGCCGTTTGTTGCCCATGCCATGCGTCCAAGACGCCGACGTGATTCAGAGCCTCATGGCTCCAGTGCCCACCAACCAGACCACTTCACCAAATCGCCGGGCCAGACAAACCACCATCGCATGGACTCCGTAGCCGGCAACTTTTGATCAAGAGCACGTCGTGTGCTTTTCTATTCTCATTATTCGATGTACATCTAACGTATACTCATATCCAAAAGGAGCTCGCTAATAAGTCAAATCTTGGTATCCTCCTGAAAAGAAATAGATAACCGGGTGTCGCCGCCGCGCAGCAACTCCCCCAAAACGCCTAACCAATTGTAGAAATAATCTACAGTCAATGAAAGTCTCCGGGCTATCCCCCAGGTCCCGTCTTGTTGTTTTTTTTTCCCTCCCCAAAGGTCATCATACCACATGTCGTACACTCTTGTCGCGAGCCCCAAGCATGTCAAGCGGCGAGAGGGGGGGGTGTGAACCAAAATATCAGCCGTCTCAATCTCGCCCTGTAAATGCCTGGTGGTTGTCTGTATCCCTCTGTGTCTTGTCCCTGCGCCGCGGCTGAACGCCGAAAACAGATGATTGATTCTCATAGCCTCAGCCCTTCCCAGTGTTTTGTTGTCCGTCCCTTTGTGTTACCGACCGGCAGCCTTCCAGCTCGGACAAGGCACAGGTTCCGCACACCCACAAATATGCGCTCATGCAGAGTTGGGACCGAGCAAGGCAACTTTATAGGCTGCCAAGTGCCCTCGTGACAAACGTCAATGAAGCGGCAAAAGTGGGGATATTTCTGATATGTGAATTTTTAATTTTTTTTCTGGTCTGGCGAGTGTTGGTGCACGCAGCCTGTGTGCCTTATTGCGATTGGGGGTGGTTGTGCAGCTATTTTCAGCCGCCGCTGGCTGATCTACTGTTGGCTCGGCATCATCCCAGGGGACCCTGGCATTGACAGCGGCGTTGTCGGGTATTCGTAGCCAGCCTCGGAACATGAGGTGGACGTTTCATAAGAGTGAGATAGCGGGGGTGTCTGGTTGTTTAAACAATCAGCAAGGCGTGTCTGAATGGACAGTGAGATGCTGCCTCGTGAAACTCACATGAGCAGAGGAGGAATCGTAATGACTCGACATATTAATGTCGACGCCAGAAACGAAGCTGTAATTGAGGTATGGGCTCAAACCGTCGTCGCATTGCTTTATATCGGGATAGTTGGTCATGGCTGGCAGAGTTGCTGGCATCGTGGTAGCCGCCAGGTAGTGAGGGTAGGGATCAGCAGCTGAGATAGAAGGGTAGGGTTGCGCCGAAGCATAAGGATCCAACAACAGCTCATCTGGGGCAGGGTATGACGGGTACGCGAACAGCGGCGGAGTGTTTGAGCGCTCGCGCTTCTCAAATCCTGCTGAGAAGACCACCATTTCCTCGTTATTCTCCATGGGAGGAGTGAATTGGCCTTGAGAAACTTGAATAGGTTTGGCAGTGGGTGCGGGAGGGGATGGCTTTGTCGTCTTGGAAGTCGACTGGCGTTTTGATTTGCTAGGGTTGTTTGACTGAGGCTTCTTTTCCGTCTCGCCGTCATCAGATGAACCGGCTCGGCGCTCGAGGTCTTCCAGGCGGCGCTTGAGCTTCTTGCCTGATACGACTCCGTGTTAGCAAAGCGGACTTCCAGACTCAAGTAAGCCTGGAGGGAACATCACTTACGGTAGTTGCGCTGGGCAATCCGGTTTTGTATCCTCCGGCGTTCAGCAAGGTCTGAGATCTTGGTCCAATCTTCGTCAGGAAGCGCGGAGCTGCTGAAGGCACTGCTGGTACCGTGGGCAGAGTAATGTCTGGTAGAAGCCGGAGGAGGGGGATAAGTGTAGGCGGGTGGTGACATGGCGAACATGGTCCTTGTGAAAAGTGTTTTCTCAGGAGCAAGAGGAGGTGGAACGATACTGTTCGTTTACAACGAAAACGTTGTCCGAAGAGGAGAGCTATCAAAGCCTAGGATAGCTCCTGCTGGAGAGCCGCGAACACCGCTTGGGAGTAGGTCAATGTTGTTTCAAAGATGAGTGTAAGTCAGCCTGGCCAACAACTTGCCCAGTTAATTGTCTCTTTGTAGTGAAGCAAGTGAAAATGATGGGCTAGAGCACGAGCCGTGATGAAGTGGAAGGGCAGTTGATTATATACCTCGACATGGTTTCTCCAACAGCATGTCCTTCTCGAGTACAGAAGAAAGCGCCCATAGCACCCTCCATGTGAGTCTATATTAGAGGCACCCCGGTACAACCCATGTCTGCGGCCTTCGTTTATTCTCGCACACACCCTCTCCCACTTGGCTCTTTCGGGGCAGATCTCGTCACCTTGGGGCACAGCGTATCTTCAAGGTGGAGATAGGCGTGGACTCCAGGAGTCCAGGACATTTGGGGCGTGCGGGTCGCCGGGCATGGTGTTGACCTCCACCAGGTTGAGGGTGTGTCTGTCGGAGGCACCGCCCCCGTGGCCCCCGAACAAGCTCAAGTGTCGATGGGCCAGCGTACAAAGTACCTAGAATCTCCATCACTGCTTTTGTTGTACATGCATACATCGTGTCGACAGGTGCAGGGCAAATTTGTCCTGAATCTACCCATACACGACGCTGGCACCATGCATTGGGCCCTTGGACTCAGCAAGGCCTAGGCACCGTAAATAGCTGCTTGGGGTCTCACAGGTGTCCAAAACTGGGACAGTGTCGGGAGTTTTGCTAGGCCGATCTTCAGTCGTCTGGGGCTTGGGCGTAGGGCTGTGAGGAGGCGTCAGAGGCCAATAACGCATCACAAACTCATGGTGGCCCCCAAACCCAAAGACTTGGACGGTCGTCGTTGCACGCCGTCCACCGACGAAAGAAATGCCACTTCTAGCAGTTGTTTCGAAAGCTTCCATGCGTGCCGCGTCCACAGCGAGACACAGCATCTACATCGGTACCTGAGGGATCCGGCCCACCATCGTACCTCAGCGCCATTGTGCTGTCTACCGGTTATCGTAAGAAAATGGCCAGAATCATTTTGCTCGGGACTTTAAGATACCTAGGCGTGGATGAGCAGACAGCTGCCTCCTCTACAGTCCTATAGATGAGATAGATGTGGGGGTTTAATGCGCCGAACTCCAGAGCCCAAGACAAACACCCGTCCGCGAGGAGCCCCTGCCATTCCATGACGTCCAGGTTCCCTGGGGAATCTTTATTCGTTTATTGTATAACATGCCGGCATCGGCTTACCAAGCTATGGTGGTTTTAGTCCTAAAAAGGGTGTGGAGGATAAGTTTGGTTTGTCAGTTCCACGTATCAGACATGAGTGCAGGATTCGGCAGGCAATTCCTACCAGCAGAACTGCGAAGCTCAATCACTCTTCTGGTCCCTATCTGTGGAATGGTTCAAGGCTATCGCTAAGCGAGAGCATGACGACGTGCCAGGCAGATGGTCTTGAAACACATCTAGGACGCGTCCAGGACCATGACGGCCAGTCCTGGTTTGGTAAAGGATGCCTCCGCAGATCACCACGAACATGCACCAACTCTTCACAGCGGACAAGTGGGCCACAGCACAGAATGGCGGGATCCCTCGCACTCGACCTTGATGGTGACTGCGATGGCGATGGCGATGGCGATAGCGAGGGGGGCTCCTGCCAGACGGCGGCGAGCGGGACGAGTGGACAGCCTGCAGAGCTTGTGATGGCGAGCCAAGGAAATGCTCAGGGCGTCAACTGGTTTCTTCGGTTTCGTTTCTCGGTTGACGGCGCACGCCCCCTCCAGCCCACCTCGTTCATAGTGGACGGGCTGCTCGCCTGTAAACTGAGTTGAAGCCAGGGCGGAAGAGTGACGGCTTGCGTGCAATTGTAGGGAGTAGGGAGTACATGTGCGTATAACCAGCACGCGTATGCACATGCAATCCGCACCCGGAGTTTCGCAGGCGGCATTGCAGTGCCTGGTCTGTGTCGTGGCGGTTGTGGATGTGCGGGTGTGAACATTGTGACTTGAGACGACCAGAAAGCAATCAGGGAACTTTGCAAAGCGAGCAGCCACTGGCAACAAGATCCGGAGCAAGGACACAAGCTATGCCCAAACCAGCACAGTACTTGTGCACACAATTGTACGGGGGCACACACGTGCGTACAAGTGCGCACCCGAGCCAGCTACGTACTCCGTACCCCAAGACTGCCACTGCACGCCGCCAGCACAGCGAAGCTAGGCTAGGCAGGCAGGCGCTGCAGCAAGCCCCCCTCCTCCCCCAAGTTGGTCGCTCCTGCCTACGGAGTAAAGTGCCACCAATTTTGCCTGGCCCAAAGCATGCATGCCACTGTCCTGCACGTGCTTTGTCATGTACCTATTTTTGGCGCCGGACACTTACCAAGCCGCTGACTGCATTTTCATTGGTCAATCAGCTTGCTGCCACTGCGGCTTGTCTGGGTCTGGGGCCGGGATTAACAAGACAAGGGGACCCGTCATTGGCACGTCAAGTCTCTGTCGTTCCCCATTGGATCTACCAAGCGCCCAGACGCGGGAGCTCGTAAACTTGGTTGCTGTCGGGCCAGTCCCTCAAGCTGCCCTCGCTCTCAGATTGTGGGCTCTTCCGCATTTAGCGATTTCGTGCGACCCCGGTCTTGATCTTCAGCCCTGCCGTTGATAGGAGCAATGTCCCTCTTCCCGTCTTCCTTGACTGCGCCCCCTCCACACTCACCTTGACACTTGAACTGAACCAGCACTCGCCCTTCACTGCCACATCTGCATGCCCATTTCAGGAAGCACACGCTATTAAGCGCCGCACTGCCCTCTTTGACAGAGAATAGAAACATTTGTCCTGGCCAGTTGGCGCGCTTAATTTCCAAATAGCATCACAATATATGCCTTGTCGACCCGTATTTGTGGCGGAGTCGCGCCAACCTGCTCGCGTACCACGGCTTAATCCATGGAGGCACAACCCGTCACCTCTGGGACTCAACGGCAGGCACCCTTCTGTGGATTTCACCACTGCGATCATTTATAGTGCCGTGGCGAGCGTTCATGAGGGCTCCGTTATAAATTACCCAGGTACAACTGCACTCAATTAGCTGTCCACGTTCAGCAGAGCGGTAGCAACGGACGGAACAAAAAATCACCCATGGAACCGTCTGCCCTTGCAGACCGAGATGCACATCATCATTTTCTGGGTACGGCCAATCAAATCCTGGCTCCTACTTGACCGTGGTCGAGTAGTACTAGTACTATCAAGCATCTGACCTCCGGTGAGTTCCAGCCCTACGATGGCTGATATCAACCCAGCCTACAAAGGCGGCATCAAGAAAATTCCATCTTTGCATCAGGCAAATACTCATGTAGATTAGCACCTACATTATACCGTATGATCCACCTACCGCTCGCTTCAATTGCAATGCCATTCGTTGGACCTGTATTATGAGCTGAATCGGTGCAAGAATCCTACCTCATTTCGGGCTGTTTTACAAATGCGAATCCCGCGGAACCACGGTGCGTTCTCCCTGTGTCCCCGTGGATGATATGGCCTCCCAATGCATGTACCTATGTACAAGCGTCTCCAAGCGCGAAATATGGGTCTTCCAATGATCATGAATCCCGTACAGACGACAGGCCCAAATGATCGCCAGCGCTGATTGCCTCCCTGGGACAGCCAGCAAGCCTGGTGAGTCTGCCGGGCAATTCATGGTGCTGCTGGGCGGCCTGAACCCTGAGAAATACAACAATCGAGGGCGAGCTCTACCGAATGAGAAGCACAAACAGATTAGTCAGGTGTAGCTGGGGCGAGGCTCTTTCACGACTCAATTGATGGGGCTTGTCTTGCTCCAAATCACCATTCCCAATTGGGCAGAGTTGTGCGATCATGCATAGGCTAGCAGTAGGAACGAGGCTACGGGCCCGCGGCTCCGTGAGGATCATCAGCTTGGTGAACCCCAAGGCCCGGCTGTCGCTACATGTCACTGGGGGGGAATCGTCACGTCAGCATACTATTAGTCATGCTGGCCGGCATGAAATGTCAATTGGTTGTGAATGGGAGTAGTAGCAGTCAGTGTAGCCCAAAGGGAGCTAGTGCCATCATTCTCCCCTGCAGAGCTTCCCCTGTCGCTGTTGGAGAACAAGGTTTACGGAACTGAGTCTGAAGTGTGTTTACTAGTAGGTCTGTTCATGTTTGATAGCATGACGTATTTGGAGCGTATTGCCTCTTGCGTTTCGCCAAAGCAAGTCCAATTATTTTAATCGGTCCCGTCGCGAGGGTTTTCGCTCGGTGGCGCATAGCTTACCTACCTACCTAGGTAAGTAAGTACGTATAGATAAGGTGGTACTAGCGTATTATTGCGATGTAGTATCTCCGTGGCTTGGGGATAGTTCTCGCTAAAGAGAGCAAGACGAGTGTTTTGAGAATTGCTTTGGTTCAACATCCCTGTGTAGGCATTTTCTAAGTCTGTTCCGTTTCCCAGTCGTAGTTGGTATTTGTCATAGATTCGGCATGGCAAGATGCTGTGACAGATACAGTCTTGGTTCGTTGTAGGTAAGGAGTCGGACACTTTGGCCGACCTTCGGAGACAATTCAAGCATTGCTGGACGAGGTGGCTGGGCCGTTGTCTGGCATCGTGAACCAAACCAATTGTGACGGCCACAGAATAATGAGCGGCCAGAAGGGCGGTTGCAGATCTGTTGAGATTTAGCACTGGGGCTAACATGGCCGACCACAACGCTCACCGGAACCCACTCCACGGCTCAACGGTGGGTGCAACTGCATGGTCAATCAGAAAACTTTGAGATATGGCTCGTTCACATGCCTACCTTCTATCGTTATTCCTCTTTCGCTTTCTTGAGTAACGCACGCTCGTATCCTGCGCCTCCGTGCCACAAGTAGATTAGATTCAAGCC